AGTCAATGTCAAATTCTTAGAGTCCCAATCAAAAAGATCATCTTAGAAAGAATGTTTTAAAAAATTAATTATTGGATAAAATGATTTATTTACATATATTATACTCTTTTAGTTCATTTTTAGTAGTTTTATTTTAATTTTTAATTTTTAAAACATAAATTTCAAATAAAAATTCACATATTATATAAATAATATTAGAAATTTTTTTATCAAATAAAAGTATTTAACAAGAACTTCATATAGTAAGAAAAACTCTTCAATTATTGTTTATATAAGTTGCTAAATTTTCATTTGAAATTTATGTCCAAAAAGTCAAAAAATCAACTAAATCTACTAAAAAGAAACAGAGAGAGTATATGTCAATTTTAGTCAAAATGTTTCATTGATTATACAAAATTTAATATCATTAAATATATATTAGAAAATATAGTTTCCTAATCAAATAATTATAGATGTTAAATCATCTTAAAAATTAACATGTATGATTTATATGAATATATCATTTGATTTAACAACTAGTTTTCAAAATATTCATTGAAAAATGATGTTTTTGAATTAAGAATCTATGGAGTTAGGATCGATATGCATTATTCTTAGTTTTGTAAGAGTAGATTAATTTCATCATTGAAAATTGAAATAAAATGTTATGTTAAGTAAAGAAATCAGATGGAGCTACAGAAGACAAACTAGTTTAAGTATTATGTTTGTAAATGAGAAACACCACAAAAACAACACATACCATCATTTGTTTTTGGATACATTAGGCAATGATATATGTCACTAGAGATTACCTAGTGGCATGAGGCCTATAAACACCAATCATATCTTTTATTAAATGATGACAGACTTGATCAGGTGGGTCTTTAAAAAAGTGAAAGCCATTGTTCAAATGGTAGAAGCCTAATGCCATAATATCTGCATATGAATTCCTCCCTTACAAAACATGTTTTATCTCACAATTATAGTCTTTAGCCATGTAAGCATTGCATTTGTTAACCAACCATGATAAAGCATTAACCTCCATGGAGTAAGTCTTCAATTTTTGAGTAACTAGCATGGAATTTGTTTCTATAATAACTTGTGTTTATTCCAAGCTAGTTCTATTCCTTTCCATATTACAAACAATTTAGCTCAAATAGCATGTCCCTCATCCAGCTGTTGTGAAAAACCAAATATCCACTGTCCAATGTCATCTCGACAACATCTTGCAGCAAAAATTCCTAGTGCTCCCCATGTAGATCCATCAACATTCACCTTGACAAAATCTCATGGTGGTGGAACCCAGCCCATACTACTATTATATTCCATGTGACGAGAATGGAATGAAATGAGATGTTGCATCAACTAAAGAAATTAAATGGAGCTATGCAAGACAAACTAGTTTAACTCATATGTTTGTAAATGAAAAAGGTCACAAAAATGACACGTACTATCATTATATTCCACATAAATAGAATGGAATACAAAAACACATCTTTTAAGAATTGCCTTAAGGAGGTAATCACCATTTGCTTACAAGTGCTTGTGGTAATACTACCCTTGGACTTGTAGTACTCCTAAAATGCACTCCAAGGCAATAGTAGAGTACTTAGACTAAAACAAAACAAAACTAAAACTAAAAGACCCAAATTGAACAAAATAGAAAACAAAATGAAAGACTAAACTCAAAATCCTATAAAAGCTCATGGACTTATGATTCAAACCTTCTGCTTGCCATTTCCCCCTTACTAAATCCTCTAAAGAGGGTTACATCACAGGATAATTAAAATAAAAATTCTCATAGGTATTTTGCCGGTAGTGTATGAGAGAAGGTTTTGCCATGTAAAGTGAACACAAGTGATCTTACCTTTATGCCTTTTTGGTCTAGGTTAGCAATAGGGTTAGAAGTGATATAGGACTTGTTTTATGGGTTAGAAAAGTAAGAAGTACTATGTCAACAATTTTATGATCAGTGGGACTATAAAGGTTTGTGGCTGGTAAGTAGGAGGCTAGTGTAGGAGTAAGATGTTGATTGTAGGAGAGATAAAAGGTTCCTTGGTTTTAGTGACATTGTTGGGCTAATATTACTGAAGACTAGTGGAGGTGGTGTGTCACTTGTGAGTATGGTAGAAGAGATTAAGACTTTTTGGTCTACACTAACACTAATGAAAGAGGAGAAAAGAGTTACCAACACCTAAACTTGGTAGGAGTATTAGATGGCTTAGTCTATAACCATTGATTGGTGGGAAAGATATACGCTTTTCAAATGATGAATGTGACTAGATTGTAGGCTCATATGACACAATTATAAAAAGTGAGGAATAGGTTGCAAGTCAGATTACTTGACAACAATAATTTTATCTTTGCCTTTATAGATGAATGGGAGAGAGACTAAGTATTGGTGAAAGCTCCTTGGGCACTCAATGACAAGACTTGAATTTTCTTGGCCAAATATAATAGTTTAAAAGCAGTTAATGATCTAGTGTTCACTAAATGCCCTTTTTGGGTTTAATTTTTAGATATAAAAATAGGGTAAATGAATAAGACTAGGGGTACTGTGTAGGGTGAATCTGTTGGCTTTAGTATTGAGGTGGATTTATATGAGATTAGTTTAGTAATGACCTTATTTTATAGGTGAAAGTAATGATTCATATCCATTGGTGATTGTGAAGGATAGGTAAGGTACAACTAGCATTAAGTAAGACTATTTAGTATCGAGTGATGTATAAAAGATGCTAGGTTTTTACCATGTTTATGGGATTATAAGTCATGTGGAAGAAGATTGCACTGTTAAAACACATGCTAAAAGAGAGACGCAACGTTGTATATTAATATGGACCATGGTTAAAGGCTTCAACGGGTGGATGGTGGATCAGTTCATAAAGGAGACTTAAGAGGAAAAGGAGATGAGGTAGAGAAGGTTTGCATGAAATTAGGGAGCCAAGGCTAAGTAAACTTTGAGGTAAGGAATAAAAGGAAGGATTCAAAGAACTATCAAAGGAGGATGATTGTTTTAAAAAGATGCTTATAGGTGTGAATGGATGGTGTCATTTATATGAGATAAAAGATTTGATATGGACTTACATTTGGACTAAACTTATCCTAGGAAGGAAGCCGTTATGGTGTTAAATGTGTTGTAGCAATGTAACTCATGCTCGAGAGTTAGGGGGATAGCTTGGTCTTCATATTCATTTCTTCATTATTCTTTCTAGTATATCTAGTTTTGGGCTATCAAGTACTCTAGAATTGAATGTACTCTATTATCAATATAATAGCATTTTCATCTAAAAATGAAAAAAATACAAGATGATTGACCTTATTACAACGACTGATATAATTATAAAAGAAAGGAAGATTGCACCATTGTGAATATTTATTAACTGAGGAGAAATTAACTCACCAATTAATTAGTTTCCAGGATATAAATTAATTATAATCTCATTAATATAGGATTTTCAATTAATTATTATTTTTGTAATGAAGAGAAATAAACATACAAAGTTTTAAAGCCTTCTGTATCATAGACTAAGGAATCTTGATGTATCATGATATCTTAGCACTATTCTGAACACATATCCAGCGGCGTGCTCTCTCTCTCTCTCTCTCTCTCTCCCTCTCTCTCCCTCTCTCTCCCTCTCTCTCTCATCCTTTCTCATTTATCTTTATTTATGTTCATCTTATTGTTATGTTATCATGAAATTTCCTACATATATGAAAGGTTTTGCATGCTAGTAGATTCTATTGACCTTAATTTTAAGGTTAAAACCCCTTTTTGGTCCCTGAACTATTGTACGGACCCCCAATTTGGTCCCTGAACTAAAAAAATCCCTGATTTGGTCCCTACTGTTTACCATTTTTACCCCGATTTGGTCCTTCCGTTAAAAATCCAGTGACGTGTACTGTTAACTAACGAGAACACGATGACATGGCCAAATATCGTGACACGTCATATGTACACATGGAAAAAAGATGACATGTCATAAAATACGTCAGATTCCCGCCAAGCAAAAAAAATAAAAACGTGGGGCCCACCTCCTGCCCAAATTCAGTATATCCTCCCCTTCTTCCCATTCGAACCCTAGAAGTGCAGAGGGCACACCGTACTTGCAGAAAAGCCAAAAGTCCCATTCTCCTTCCTGCTTTTTGCTCGCGAATCTTTGATCTTTCACTTTCGAATCTTCGCGTTTAGTGCTGAAAGAGGTGGAAATCGAAGAACAATGGAGTCTTTGAACATCGTAGATGTCACGCTTCTCTCCATTTCAAAACCCTAAAAGAACAGAGCTCTTTTGTCTTTGATCCTGAGATTCACGCTTTCAAAATCAACTATTTTGTTCTTTCGAGTGGATCTTGAGGAATTTTAGGCAATGGAAGTTGTTGAATCGATATCCATTCCTTCAATTTCTGATGGTGCGAGTGCTAGTGGTGGTCAAACGACAGAATCGAAATGCGAGTGTGGTTTAGCACCTGTGTTGAGGACAGCACTGACATTCCAGAACATGGGAAGAAGGTTTTGGGGATGTCCAAATTTCCTGGTAAGGCTGGTATTCTTTAATTTTAGTTGCATATTTATCTAGTTTAGTGCCATTTTAGAAGCATAAAGTTGTTTTCTTAACTTTTGTGCTGTTTAGACTGGAAAGCCTTGCAAGTTCTTCCATTTTATTCCTGGTGATAAGGTGATTGAGGGTAGAGTAAGGGATCTGTTACTGAGGTTGAAAGATAAGCAGCTTCGATTTCAGTCTGAGAATGAAAGGCTGAAGAAGGAAAATGCTGATCTGATCAAGGAAAATGCTGATTTAATGAAGGAAAGGGCTGATTTGATAAAGGGAAATGATGATTTGATGAAGGAAAATGCTGGATTATTAGTGGAAAATGGGAACTTGCTACACGAGAATGGGGTCTTAATAGCTGAATCTGAATCACTAGTGAAGAAGAT